ATCACTTTATTATAGCAATGCAAAAAAAATTAAATATAATTTATTAAACACAATAATAACATGTATAAAAAATAAAATAAAAACTCCATATTTTAATACATAAGAGATAAACTTATGTGTTATATATGCCTCTGAAATCATAAAGATATTACGTGTCTTGTCTAATTTTGTATGTGTAAATGTATACAAAAGTATGATGGTCTCAAAAGATTATCCTTAAAGTCAACTCTTAACTTTCTTGTGGTAATGCTTATATATATATATATATATATATATTTTTAATATATCATTTTTAAATTTTTAACATCAACTTCGTAATTTTATCATATTTTTTTTCATGTTTCGTACTAAGAAATAAAACTTCTATAAGATATTTATGTAATCTGTATTTTAAAAAATACCAATTAAAATTTATAATTAACACGTTTTTGATTTCATAAAATTAATTATTGACAAACAGTAATGATATTTATTACGTAGAAGTTGAATTACCAAAAGGATAACTTCATATCGAATTATACTCGCAATTTAACATTGGTGAGATATTTTAAAAATATCATCAAGTTTAACTTGAAATATTTATTTAAATTTATAAATCATAAAATACTTCAATTTAATTCATTAAAATTTTTATTATATTTTATTATATTATATGCATAAATCTATTATTTTTATTTTTAAAATTATTATGTCTAAATTTATAATTATTGAAATAAAGCTAATTATTGCCCTACAACAATCAAGTCAAGTATAAGATGAAAAAATGTTCAAAAACATGCTTCAAAGCATCTAAACATTGGGTTTCTTATTAAAAATATTGGTTTGGAATATATACATAACAGAGATTTTTTATTATAATAGTAACTAGAATATGTAGTCAAAATGTGTTTCAAAAATCAAAGACAAAAAATTGATATAAGGTTTACATTAAGCATCATGTTAAAGTATCTTGTATATAGTTTGATTTTGAATTTTTCATTTTCTGCATTATTCTTATAAAGAAGTTTTTGTATGTAGTTTTATACCACAATAGCTAACAAATGACTCTAAATTTGTTAAGAATCTAAATTTAAATTAAAACTCTTAATTAGATGCAATTTTTTTTGATATTTTTATATATATATATATATATATATATATATATATATGATTTTCTTTCTATTTTTAAGAATATAAAACTTTAAAGAATATAAAACTAGTTATATAAGTATTCTATTGAAATTAAAAAAAGATATACCATGAATCAAGAAAACGTGATAATTAAATTATCTAAGAGCTTAATATATTCATATAAAACTTAAATTATTGTGCACAAGAAATTCTACTAATTTTAAGACTACAAAGATAAGTGACGAAACAACTAAGAAGTAAAATAAAAACAATAGATTAGATTTGAAATAACTCTTGATAAAATTTAAAAAACAAAGCAACTCCTCAATTGTTTTAAAACTTGTGTTAATGTGACAATGATATTTTTTGTCTAATCTCAATCCTCCCTCTTTTATTTATACTAAGGCAACTAAATTCTCTAAAAGTCTCCAGAAAAAATTGTCGAAATAATGGGGTACTCCAAATATAATATTAAAAAAAGGTATAAAAATATCTATAATTTGAAGTGATTTAAAATAATTAAAATAAGATGGTATATATATATATATATATATATATATATATATAAAGAAAGAGAGAGAGATTCAAATATAAGTATCCAAGTTTTCAAATTTTATATTTGAAAAATAATCTAATAATTTTAATTAATTTTAATATAATTTTATTCATTCATCAAAATTTTATTTAACTTTCTAAAAATAATCGAATTTTATAAAATTGAAAAAAAGTATATATATATATATATATATATATATATATATATATTGTCTATTGTAAATTTATTCTTATTTATTTTAAGACATAATTATCTTAATAAATCTAATAATATTTTTTATGTAATGTTTTTTAAAGTCTAATATGTCAAGTTATTGTATTATCTATTAGATTGTAATTATGTACTAAACACACACATACACACACACACCTACACACACACACCTACACACACACACCTACACACACACACACACACATATATATATATATATATATATATAATTTTTGTCTTTAAAACACAAATATAGATTCTAAAGTCTATCTTTAATGTTTAGTATATTTCTTTCTAAAGTATTATATATTATATCTTACTACTATTATCTAAAATGTTACATTATATGATATATATGTATATATAGTTATATCTAACATAGAATACATCAAGTAATTTTTATTTTGTTATATTAAAGATTTTAAATCTTCTATAATCATTTTAAAGCTCATATTAATTATTTTTTACTTCTATATAATTTATATTTTGATTTATTGAATTTATTTATTGAATTTAAATCTCATATTAATTTTTTTTATTGAATTATAATTTTTTATTTTTATTAATTTTATTTTATTATTAATATATCTTCTATTAGATGTATTAATATTACTAAAAATCCTCGCTTTTTTTTAGATTTAATTTATTAGAATAATTATTGTATTATTTTAATATTAAAATTGTAATTTTTAACATTATTAATTAATTTTGTATTAAAGTCTATTATTTATTTTTTTATTAAATTATACTGAATGTTTTTGAATTTATAATTTGAATAATACAATCATTTTATTTTATTTATTTATTTTATTTATCTTTGCACGTTTGTATGTTTTATTATGTTGACTATATTTGTTTGGTGTGATGGAATATATTTGTGTTGTTTTTGGCTTAATTTTTTACAATGTGGTTCTTTATGATCCATTATAGTAGTCAACAACCAACAGTAGTGACAGTGCTTGTGTATGTGGTAGCAACACTTCAAGGCAGCAATAGAAATTTTGTTAAACTAAGAATTGCTTGTTTAAATCAAACCTTCTTCTCTCACATAAAATTGAATTGCACATAGATAGAAAATTTTAACTTTACTATATAGTATATTTTTTTGGTTAGATGCTACAAATGTATACAAGTATTTTCTTTTCTTTTTTCTTTTTTCTTTTTTTCCTTATTTTACATTAAAATATTTTATTGGCATCCTTATCCATTATGAATGTCAAATTACAGACGTTAATAATTGTTTAAGCCTGTACGTATATAAAGTAGCATATCTTTGCTTTTTAAAAATGTTTTTTATTTTTATTTTTATTTTTTATCATTTAAAAAATATTCTTATATACTCTTAATTTTAGAATAAACACTATTGAAATCTATTATAATATATGTAATACTTGTATTTGTACAAATATGTGCTTTCTTCAAATGTCATCGAAACAAAAATACTTTGCAGGGACCAATCACATTTACATGTTGCATTTAATATTATTTTATCTCAATTTACAAAATCAAAGTGTTGTGCATAAAACAGCTTTTTTTCCATGCTGAAAATAAAGCAATTTTCACGTCTTGCTACATTTTTTTTGTTATTTAAAGAAGAGCATGTACAACATTTGAGTTTCTAAGACTGACAAACACTCAAACATTTTCTGTTTGTATCGGAACAGAACAGCGATTATGCTCCAAGTTCAAAGATGTCAATAACACTTGCACACATTTAAAAACAAACACTGTGCACTTAATGAGAAAAAGTTCCAACTAGTACAAGAGCAAAGAAATAGTAGGATGAGTACAAGAAAACAGGTGTAGAAGTGGACGTGGTCATGAAGAGTCAAAGGGGACCAGTTCTTAGAGACGACTCTGATTCGGGTTGACATTCTCTCCAGAGCAGGGATTTTGATATATAATTGACCATAATTTAGATATATAATTGATCATAATCACACACAAACCCACAAACAAAGACAGACAGAAAGATGAGTAAGTGCCGACGAATCTATAGGATTGGAAAGAGGGGATAAATCTGATGCGGAATCACATCTTTCTCAGCCCCGCCATAGCCAACTGCCATTGACATTGCCGTAGCAAGCAAGGTTAGTGTATGGGCTTCATTCACTCTTCCTCTTCCTTCTGCATTTCCTTGCTTTATTTTGCAGGAAACAAGCAAGTGGGACTGTATGATATGCGTAGGACTACAGCAGCAGTGCGTTGGAAACTGGGTCCACGCTTATGCTTGCGCGGAGGATCAGCTGAATACGAGCTGCGTCATGCTCACGGCGTGGTCAAACGCTGCTCTTGGTGTGGCAAGAAGAAGTGGGAAATAAATATGAAAAAAAAAAAAAAAAAAAAAAAAAGAGAGAGAGAGGGAGAGGATAAAACAATGACCTTCAACAAGCACAGCGTGTGTGTGGGTAGTACAATGCTGGCGATAAATGCATGGTTTGGAGGGAAATGCACTTCGGAGATGCTTACTAATGTACATCCCAGCTCCTTGCCTCTACCTCACCCCTCATTTGTCCTGAAAATGCTCGTGTTTATAGGGGATTACAAGAGTGGGTTATTGCTGTTGTCTTTCTTTCTTCATTTTACAAAGATAGATGGGTAAATTCTAGACCTAATAGTGGACCTCTTTTTTTCTTTTTCTTTTTTCTTTATTTTCAATTGGGTTGATACAAGGTCATTTGTATCGACAATCAACAATCAATCTGGACACTGAGTAGGATGAATATTTTAAATTGATGCTCGTAGAAATGGAAAATTTGGGCAAGTCTGAATTTTTTCTTAAGGTACCCACTTCAGTTGGTAATCCAAGGAAAGGTAGAGCAAGAGAAAATGGTTTTAGAAATAATTGCATGATGTAACATGAAGCTAACAACTTCACTTAAACTCAAACCCATATTATAGAAACCATGCGAAAGAACCTATGTGTTGTATGATTAACAACCAAGATGTAGAAATATTTACTTAAGAAAGATTTTTCTCTATTACCCAGGGCAATGGATGCGCAGAATTACTAGTTCAACTACACGGATAATGATCATCTACTTCAGTTAGGTATTCATCTCAAGAATAATGAGGTGGTTTATTTTTAACCCCATTAGACACGAGAATGTGTTTTCGTAGATAACACACACTTCTATTCATCTCAGAGGACGCATGATCCCCAAGGTATCATTCTGAACCAGAGATCTGGTTGAATGAAAGCACTTGTTCTGGTGTAGTAGCCGCTTGTAGGGGGCAGCATGACAATTGGAGCCCTGCGGAGAGGCCATGGAGCTCGTCATATATAGATAGCATTGCTTCACCTGCAAAGGTACTCGAAGGAAAAGACCCTTTAGCTTGGAGCTGCTTCCAACGTCAATGCCAGATCTGTCAGTGCAACAGCACCCATCTCCCCCATCTCCCAGTCGCCGCCCCCACCGATACCCACTCCAGATTGTCATATTTGTTGCTGCGTAGAGCACCGATTGTTGGGGCGATAGATTGGTGTTGGATTTTATTAGGGTTTATGTTGTTCTGGTGAGATTTTAGTGTTTTCGTTGGAGGTGGGGAAGGTTCTGCTGCTTGAGCCGAAAGCCAACTTGTGATACACACACACTTCTTCTACTTTTTCTTTTTTGATTCGAGGTGAGTGTGAGTTCCGGAGTTGTGAGCAGCGATCTTGTGTGTGGGTAGAATGATGGATGATTTCTCTTTTTACATGGGCTTTGTAATGCTGTTGTCGGGGCTCATGAGATGGGATGCCGCGGATTTAGTTTAGAATTTCTCTTGGAGCTGGGTGTGTGTGAATTTGTTTCAGTGTATATGTACGTAGTGGATCACGTGAGGTGGAGGTGTTGAAAATGTGATGGAACAGTCTTGCTGTTGCGCATCGGGCCCTTCTTAAATCAGGGGGGCCATTCCATGCTAATTTAATTGGAGGAAGCGTTCTTGATCTGTGCTGTTTTTCATTTGGTGTCGAGTTCTCTCTTGTTCTTTTCTCCATTCACGCTGGATTGTTCTTCTCTCGTGCCTCGTGCGTAGCACTATGGCCATGCTACAATTTCCCACGGGACACTTCCTTTTATTTAAAGAAAAGTGCCCACTTAGAAAAGATATATGAACTGCGTTTTTGAACAATCGCTTTAGATTCAAAATTGTCTGTCAATTTTGCAGTTAAGAGACCTGAAACGACCAATCGACACTCAGCAGTATTTTTTACTTCTTTTTGTTTGACTATGGTTTCAGGGAGAACTTGGGGTTTGACGATATGGCAGGTAATGTAGATTCTGCAAAGGCACCGCCTGCTCCTTCACCTCTGCGCATGTCCAAATTTACAACGGTAAGCACGCAAATCAATTCTTGGCCAGACCTAATTGGTGGAAGTTATGTAGTCCAGGTTTAAAACGGTGGTTGTGATTCATCGTAAACTGTTATTACTACCTCCAGCTTTAACTGCTTTTTTAGAAGTTGTGCATCGTCGTGACTCAGTCTTGTTGATTTAAATATTTGAGGTATTTTTCCGTTTCAGGCGAAGATGAGGATCTTGATCACAGGAGGAGCTGGATTCATCGGGTCTCACTTGGTCGACAGGCTCATGGAAGAGGGCACAAACGAAGTACTGCCTCCTTTCTTGATCAATGCTGGAGATTTCAACTAAGTGCAGTAACTAATCTCGCAATTTCTTTGGCAATAACAACAAAGGATATATTAGTGACACAGTTTTTTTCTGTTTTACGTGTTTGTTGTTGGTTTCTTAATGAAACCTGAGGAGCAGTGAGGAAAACCTTAAGCAACCCACACTCCTAACGTGTCATTAGTAGTTAGTGGAGTGTTGTGTCGTTCACTTTCTTTGAACAAATATTCACATCTTCAGGTTGTGCTTGTGCTCCCACTTGTGCCAAACATGAGTATTCTTGGATGTTTGTGTCTCACAAGTTATCCAATTCCTGTTTTTTGTGTAGGTTATCGTTGCTGACAACTTCTTCTCAGGGTCAAAGGAAAACTTAAAAAAATGGATCGGTCATCCAGATTTTGAGCTCATTCGACATGGTTCGTGATCACCACCTTATTTTCTTATTTCATAATCCAAACTATATATATTTTCAGCTCACAAATTTCCTTGTGAGTTTGAGTTCAAATTGAACTAGTTAACCATTTTAACACTCCCTGATTGTTTATTATGTAGAGACATCATAGTTTATGGTCAAATGAAGAGATCCAATACTCGCGTCATCAGTTTGAAATTAAAGTTAAATCTGCAGTGTATTGAACATGCTATTTTATGTTGGTGGGAAGTAAACATCTTAGCTGATTTTGTGTATTTTATCCCTCATATCTGCAGATGTGACAGAGACATTATTTGTTGAAGTAGACCAGATTTATCATCTGGCTTGTCCTGCTTCACCCATTTTCTACAAGTACAATGCCGTGAAGGTAAACTGTCAAACTCTACCAAGAGCATTCGTCCTGTGTAGACCGTTTTTGGGAAACTAAAGCGTGTCATTTCATTTTTTTAACGTCTTCCCAGGATGACATTGGTAGTACATAACGTACGCCACTTTAATCTTGTAAAAGGTGTAATTGTAGTTATAGTTACTTTTCAACGATCTATCTTATTATTTGCAGAGCGTGCGAACACACACACAGAGACACACACACACACACACATTATATATATATATATATATATATATATATATATATAAGAATCCTTGAGCGTTTGTAGAGTGAAGAGATATGTGCGTTTCAGTTTCAGATTGGTTTGAAATTTGGTTTGAAACTTCATTTTGCAGACCATCAAGACAAATGTGATTGGTACGCTCAACATGCTTGGACTCGCTAAACGAGTTGGTGCAAGGTGCAAAATTCTTTGTATATCTTGCTCTTTAATTTCTCTTGTCACCAGGAAACTGGCAGCTGGACTTACGATTTCATGTTATGTATACTGCAAGTAGCTCCCTATCCACTTAATCGGTTTGGACCGAGAAGCTGTGACATCTCTAGTAATAAGTATCTATGTAGCTCTCATCCGATGATTAACCTTGGTTGCTTTATGGAGGCAGGATTCTTCTCACGTCTACCTCTGAAGTTTATGGAGATCCTTTGGAGCATCCTCAGACAGAGGAATACTGGGGAAACGTAAACCCAATTGGTAAATCCAACTCACGTTACACGCTTGGTGCACCATCACGCTCTGTGCAGTTTCTGAACTCTGATACACAATCATTCTACACAAAATATTACCTTAACGTTGCTTCTTGTCTTGTGTAGGAGTAAGAAGCTGCTATGACGAGGGAAAGCGTGTTGCTGAGACTCTTATGTTTGACTACCATAGGCAGCATGGCGTTGGTATATACATTCCTCGTGTTGTATCTTTTCTAAGTTAACACGCTCTACGCTTTTATGTCGGTCCAATGTGTACTAGAAGCGTAAAATATTTAAACCTGGCAAATTCTTGTCATGCACTCTTGCTATGATTGTTGAACGTGTTAAAGTATTGTATCGATAAAAGTTGACGAAAAAAATAAAGGATGCGATGAAATGTAGCTCTGAGTGTAGTAGCATCACTGAATTCCAAGAAGCTTGGATCTTGGTCATAATCTCTGCTTTGCTATTCGTGGTGGCAGAAATCCGTGTAGCACGAATTTTTAACACCTATGGGCCTCGCATGAATATCGACGATGGGCGAGTAGTCAGCAATTTTATTGCTCAAGCATTAAGGTACTGGTCCTCAAGGTCTCAAAATTCAATATTTCCTTAACTTAATGAACTCAACACATTTGACATGATGTACGGGTGTGTAGAGGGGAGACGATGACGGTGCAGGCTCCAGGCACTCAAACTCGTAGTTTTTGCTACGTCTCTGATATGGTACATCCTGATCCCCTTTATGAATCATCATGCAATTATTGGTGGAGAGTCCGGATGCCTAGCATATCTCACAGTAGCGGTGTTCGAAAAAGGAATTAGAATTGATTGAGCTGTGGGGATTTGGTTATGTCAGACTCTTGAGATAGATGCAAAGACTGTCGATTGTAGAGGTGGCCCTTTCACCACCCAGGGGAAACAAATTTCACATTTTTACAAAATTGTAATCCCAACATGTTTGCCGTGCGTGCAGGTAGATGGTTTGTACCGGCTTATGAATGGAGACCATACTGGGCCTATCAATATCGGCAACCCAGGTGCTTTTCTCATCTTCGCGTGTTTAACTCATACGTACGCTTCAATGAAAAGCGACCAAGGTGCTATAGCTCCTGTTACGGCTTTATCTGTTGTTGCTCGGTGATGAACTATGTTTTTCTCACTTGTGGTCACTTCGAATAAAACAGGGGAGTTCACCATGTTGGAGCTTGCTGGCTTAGTCAAGGAGGTAACATTCAAAACCTAAACCTCACAAAGTCCAATTTTTAAAAGATATTTACAGAGATCAATTTATGGTTTAAAATAATCATGTTTGTTTTGCGCAATTTAATTTTGATGCCATCGAAAAGTATACCCAGATGGTTAAGTTGTCTTTAATACTGCATCTTTGTATTCATGGCAGCTTTGTAGATTTTCTATTTTCTCTTCTGTAGAGAAGAGTGCTACCATTTAAGACTGTTGATGTCTGAATTTGGTTGATCAAATTGCAGCTGATCGAGCCTTCTGCGGAGACTAAAATCGTTGAGAACACTCCCGATGATCCTCGTAAGCGGAAACCAGACATCACTAAGGCTACTAAGCTTCTTGGGTGGGACCCTAAGGTTTGCGTCTCTTTCTCATATCGTCACCTGAAGTACCGTTTTAATGTTCGAAACATTTTGATTTAGAGTCATTTGCGTGTTGATTTTTTCGAGTATTTTCCCACCCAATTATATGGGAATTCTATCCCTCCATTCTTTACCACATACTTGAGCAATGATACCCAAGAAGCTGATAGTGAAATGCGCATATCAGTAATTTAATTAAGTTTTTACATGTTAGGTGACACTGCGTGAGGGCCTGCCTTTGATGGCAGCAGATTTTAAGGAGAGACTGACGGGCTTGAAGGCATGAGAGAGGAGAGCAAGGAATGGCGTTGATGGGGGTGAAAGGGGAGAACCACTCACAAACACTACATTGAATTTTTCTCATTATTTTTTGGCCACGTTATTCTAGGTCTTTTTTGAGTTTAGTGGTGAGTTGAGACAAATATTTGCTGCTTGTGGCTGGCTGCTTGAATCTATCTGGCAAGGCATTCAAATGTGCGCATCAGCAACCTGTACTTGTGCTCAGAATAATTTAGTCCTGCAAATATCATCGTTTTAAATAATGTAAGTGTAATGCTGTCATTGTCTGAGATTGGTTTATCTTACAATCATCTTTACGTTTCGATCCTTTTGCACTATTAAACCCCAAATTCCGAAATGGGTACAGAGATAATTTGGCACAGTTTCTTTCTGACAAGCTTTATTAACGGTAGTCGTAATCAAAGCAATACATGAGGCTGACGTTGTACTCTTTCGCCAGACCTGCCCTTACAACAATTCTGTCTCGTTTTATTTGTCTTCATTGTGCTTAGAATTCTAAATCCAAACCCCACTTCATATCCAAAATCCAAGATCATGATAATCAAATATTCTCATAAATATTGCTGAAGGCCCTTGAAATAGTCATCACATTAGCCTCGGTGACCACTCTTGGATCAAATGTTGTGAAATGAACTTTTGATCTGCGTGGTGATAGAGGCATACATTGTACCGGTTTTCTGGGATTTACGATAAAATGGCTCCGATGTGCTTCTGGCAACTACTGCACCAGTGAAACTCAATCAAAGCATAGACACACACATTGAAACACGCATACATACATACATACATACATACATATTTCCACCTGCAACACCTACCTTTCTTCAACTAGATAAATCGGTGTTCTATAATTTATTAATCTTGCGTTTTAATTTAGCCCTCCTATCAACTAGTCAGAATGTAGCTCCCCGAATCCGCCACAGACGAATGCAAACGTCTGATTCATTCAATCCCCCTCGTGCAACCAGTTATTTGCGCAGTTCTTTTAAATGCTCTGGTGGAAAATGAAACAAAGACGGCAACAGAGCCGATGCAGATTAAGCCATTTCGCAAGACTTTACCTCCCAGAACCCGCTAGAAAACGACACTTCTGGATGTGCACTTTTAGGCTCTATCCATCGACCCTCTATAATTGCAATCCCGGCAACGAACACGGTTCCAAAAACACGCAGACTTGATGACTTCTCAGCATCTTCTACATGTAAAAGCAATACAGATTATTCTCCAACACACAACTTTTGCAGGCCAATGGTAAGCGGCACCAAATACACAACTGCACCAGTGAATAATAAAGAGTGAAATATGCGGGCCAATGAGTTGTCCGACATTCCATTGATGGCAAGCATAGTACCCAAGTACTGGGTGATAAAAAATATTGCGACGGAGTGAACCCATGGTGGCTCATGGGCCAGAATGCGAGCTTAATCCATTTCGGAGCTCGTGCCAGTCTGGCCGTAATGATGGTTTTAGGGATCTGCATGGATTCTCCTCGCCACATTAACTTCACTGCACATGGGCTCACAGACAAAAATCTCACAATCACAACCAAATTTCCCTTTTAAGAAAAACAAAAGACAAAAAAAAACCATAGCCGACTGCCACAGAAGTTGATCGCCGACCTGCGAGAGCTCATCAGCTTATCGTTCAACTCCATGATTGCCAATCGACCCACCTCTCTCTCTCGCGATTTCGCACTTTACCCTGCCCTCGAAGACGAAGAAATTTCAGCTTTAACTAGAATGTTCTCATTCTTACTCACAACTGTAACGATTGGTGTCATATTTGATGGCACCCACCTGCACAAGAAAGGAAAATCTCAACTTCTGGCGACTGATTTCTTGTCAGCCAACACTCTGACCGTCGCCTGGCGATGATGGTTTTGAGTATGTTCAAATTCCAGGAGGTTTTTGGGCGTAAACATTTTGAGACTTTGTGAGAGTTGCTCGATAGAGAAAGGTTGTTCTGGCCGGAACCGTCGTAGTCCCCAACAATCCAAAGTTGCCAGAAGCTCTTAGACCTCTTCCCTCGACGCCGACGCTGAAGCAGCAGCCGCTATTGAACACCCATCATCAACTCCACTGTGCCAAGCCACTATAGTAGTGTAGAATACAGGTGTAAGGACTTAATAAGCGCTTGTTTATTTTAGGTCCTGATCCACCACTTGCCTGAAGTGCTGTTTTTATTTGTTTTCGTTTTTATTTTTCTTTCCGTCCTTCCTTCTTTCCTTTCTTCCTTTCTTCTGCTTCTTCTTCTTCCTGTTCTTCTTCTTCCTGCCCTTGTCACAAGCTAGACTAGCTACCTAAGTTCCCTTTTTTATGCTCTGCAGGTGCTCGTCAATGGAGCTCACCTTGGGACCATATGAAGGACAGTGTACTGCGGGGACTTCCCCTGTAGTGCTATGGTATGGTAATCTCTGTGGTTAATTTTCGTGCCGAGGATTTTCGTGTTTTGAAGTGTAGCGAGTTGGGGGTAGTGTCGTTTTAAGCCATGGGCTGACATTACGGCGGTTAGGGGTGATGAAGACGAAGTTGTGTGATGGTTTGAAGATGGCGAGGTGACATAGGACAGAGTGGAGTGGTTTCAGTGCGGGCTTTGGTGTCGGTGAGGGAATGCTGACGGATTTGTAGAGAGTTGGGGTAGGGGAGTTCGTTGTACTGATGATTACCCTAGCTTTGGGGAGCTATACATGAGAAGATGAGCTCATGACGGGGCCATGGAAGGGACGGAGACGAGCGGAGGGGAGCGACAGCGGGGACGGGGAAGAAAGAACAGGTGTAGAGGAGGGGATCTGTTTGGCTCCTCCCAATATTACTTGCGCTGGTCGTAGTATCTTACTCGGACGGTGCGCGTAGTTGTGTGTGTGTGTGTGTGCGTTTGTATCATATTTTATCTATTTTTAATATCTCTCTCGCTCTCACAATGTTTCACTGTGGTTCACACATGGGAGTCAAAAGCTTTGGGCCATCTCTTTCTGGCGTTGAACTGAAGTGGTTGTACTCAGAATAATTCTGGATTCTAGAGGGCTTGCAAAGTGAGGCACTGAATGTGGTTTATAAGAAGTCGGAACCTAGTTGGCGAGGTCAGGGTGGACTTTTCTTATCAGTGACGTACCAGGTTTCATGGCCTATTTAGTCTGCTGATGTGCTTGGTGGAGCTCTGACGCTCAACATCTGATTCGGGATGTTAGGAAAGGAGAAACTGGAACAACGCGTACTTCGTGCTCCGTGTCTCGGGTTTGTGACTCGTGAGACAGGGTGTTTTAGTGGATTGGAAAGTTGTTTTGAAATGTGTTAATGTGGGCACCGAGTTCTCTATCCGCAACTTATGGTTGGTAGTCTGACTTAGTTACAACCTGCTATGATGGAATTCCTGGATGTCCTACCTGTAGCGCTGCGTCGTTGATGACAAAAGCTTCTGAAAGACGAGACTTTGGTGCCTTCTACCTCTCCCCAGGTTGAACCTCAAACTTTTGTTTAATTTTGCATTCGTTTGTTCTGGATTCCAATTCCGATGCATAGTTTCTTGTGCGAGAATCTGAGCGATGGGTCAGAATTTTGAACAGTGTCATCTGAAGTATTTTTTGATTACAATGGGTAAGCATATTTTATTCTATCAAGATCGATGTACACGTGTCTCGAGGAGATTGAAAATCATCCCTTTGTTCCGAATATTGTAGGATCTTGCCTAGTGTGTTCGCATTATTTGTATTAAGATTGCCCAAGATTCGTCGGATTACGTGAGATTTTAGGCGTGCGTTCTTTTACCTGTTGGATTGGTTCCATTAAGTAACGATTTCAAGCATGTAGTTACTTGTATATTTGTCATCAAATTCAACTCGGACTTTGATCCAGGAGAAAATTTGTTCTTTTTCCAGACATAGTAATATACGACTTATTGTGAAATTAGACCTTTTGTGATGCTCAATTGTCTATTACTTGATACGATTTATTACTGATGCAGATGGCACGAGGTGGATGCTGTTGGAGTGGGCCATTTTTCCTTGGCTCCTTGTCCCGCAAGAACAAAAAACGAATCGTTCCGGCAACTAGAGTACACGATGGAACGGCACAGCCATCCGATCCCCAGGGCCAGTTTGCCTTCCTACTTGCACCTCCTTCATCTCCAGCGTCTTATGCTAATTCCATGGCTCCATCTTCTGTTCAGTCGCCGTATTACCCTTCATCATGCCCTGTTCCTCAGGGTGGTGGCTCAAGAATTCCTCTAGAAACACAGTCTAATATGTTTGCTGTGGGTCCTTACGCACATGAAACAGCGCTTGTCTCGCCTCCAGTTTTTTCTACATTTACAACTGCTCCCTCAACAGCTCCTTTTACGCCTCCGCCTGAACTTGCCGCTCACTTTACCACTCCCTCTTCTCCTGATGTTCCTTTTGCAAAGCTGCTAGCATCTTCTTTCTCAGACCAACGATCTACTAAACGGGAACCGGAGCCCCCTTACTCTGCCTCACCTTTTGCCTCCCCTGATTACTATCAACAAGATCACAGTCAGCAAGATGACTTGCAGGTTGGATATCAGTTGTATGCAGGAAGTCCCCTTGGTTGTTTGATTTCCCCTGCTGGCACCACCGGTGAGTCAACTCCATTTGCTGGGCGTGGCACTATTGGTACTAATACACCTCATGCAGAAGGTGACAATCCCACTCCATTGACTGTCCTCCCAGCAGTGGTAAGCACGCTACCTAACCTTGAGCACCAGGTAGCCGAGGGACTTCATCAAAGGAGTATTCTAGATTCTCAATGTGGGCCAGGAGAGCCTCTGAATGACAGCGGCAGAGAGCGACATGGGAGCTTTGACAGTCACTCACGGTTCATGGGAGCCATGATTCATGAACGTGATCCATCTGATTCGGCTTCACACTCGTATGGGCATGAGCAGCACAGTGGTAGTTTGAGTGGACTTCATGAGGTCTTGGAGGGACGGAACAGGCACAGGAAACTAAATCAGGACAAGTCTTCACGATTCACAGGTCTGAAAACCCAAGAGCAGGAAAAGGATGACGTTCGCAATGAGGATTTACTTGAACTTCCGATGCTGTTGGGCAGTGAAAGTTCTCAGGGTGGTTCTAGGGCGTCACGTTCTCCGAATAATAGAAGTAAAGTACAGAGCAAAGCAGGGAGCCGGGTGGAGAGCAAGGCTGGGTCTGATTCTTTGAAAGAGTGGGACCGCAATGAAAATAATTTACTGGAGTATGCACTGAGCTTGCTCGAAGGAAGCGACGGGAAAAGGCCGGGAACAATCGGGTGGGCGCCTGTGGATACCTCGCTTCCTCGAGAACCTGAAGCTTCCACTCAGTCATCCTCTGACTTGAGTAACGGGACCGAAGAAAATGAAACGGATCGTGTGTATAAAGGTGACCAGAATGGTAAAAGCAGCAGTGAAGGTTTCCAGGAAGCAATATCTGCGGGAGCAATTGAGGAGCCTGAGGAAACAGTTGTTTCGGCTGAAAACCATGGTAGTGATCCTGAAGATGGAAGTAATCTGTGAATTAAGCTCAGTGGCCTCAATTGATGAACTTTATGGTGGCTTTCCATCTTGTTGTGTCTTGTATCTGCCAAGAGTTACCCTGTCCAAACTTGTTGACGATTTAAGTTGTGTATCTAATTCTGATACCCTTGCAAACTTATAGATTGCAGTTCGAGATACGAGTCGCTTGTCTCTCAATATGAGCAGCTATCAGTGGCATTGAAGGAGGCAGAAAGGAAACAACTAGAGAAAGATCGTCTTGCTGAAGAAAGAGAGCAACAAAAAAGGCATCTCACACATTTGCTGCAATCGGGGGTATTCATTCATTCTGCTATGAATAGTTCTTTGTGTCCTAAAGTTAATTTTGGGCAAGCTAAAACAGTATGAGGTCAGGAGCATCACCGAAGTGATGTCTTCCCTAAAAATCAACATTTGAAATCAAAAGAGCCCAAACTTGACACATGAGTGACTGATTCGCAGATATGTTCAAAGATAAGTAATTTTCTGTCTTAGTAAAAGTCTGATCAAAATATGCCATATGTGAATCAACCTATAAATACATACAAAACTACGTCGGTAGTTTAATAATTGTTCTCTCACAAGTATTAGAAACGTAAGATAAATTTGATGGTATTGGGAATCCATTGACTATTTGCTGATGGCAGAACAGGTAGTTGATTTCATCCTTCGACGTTGTGATATGGGGAATTTTATATTTTTTCTGAAAATGAATTTTCTCGTTGGCTAGGAGTGAGTCCCTCGTGATGGATTATTAGACGTTAAAGCCCATGCTTCTGCTTTGGATTAGTATGTGATCCTCTTCTGACACATGGATGGCCTAGGGTTACCACATATGCTGTTGGAGGTTTGATAGGCTTCTCTATATTAATGTATTACAAGCAATTCTACCGTGGAGTTTGTTTGTTTCCTTTTGTTCATTGTAGAACCGCCACAATTTTCAACCAAAGTAATACCTTTCTTTCAAGTTAGCTTGTGTTTGTCTAAGTCATCAATTTGAAGATTTTAACTCGTGATATGCTCTATATGATTCAGGGTTTACAGAAACTTGTGGGGGATTATTTAAGGGCTGGCAACGAAGTGGGCAAAAACAAGAAGACCAAAGATGCACCATGATACAGGAATTCTTCTCTAGCTCATCAGCCCCTCAATACATAGGCATTACATGCATAAGCAATAACAAGTGCTGGTGGTCAATCTGGGCAGGACATGGTAGTCGCTAACGAGCCCTAGATCTGTTGGACAACTACACGCTCCAGGCACCGTGTTTGACCAGAGATTTGAGGGTTTGAAGCCTATCAATACTCTTGTAGTACGTTCACCTGGCGACAAAAGTTGTTGTCATCGCACAGTATTTTCGCTGTGTACATTGCTATTTGAAACTGCAATTTAATATTCACTTCTTATAAGCTTTGTTCACCCTTGTTGCAGGAGTATCTTGAGTCGAGCAATGCTATTCTACTTTAGTTTTGCTGAAGAAATTTCACCTTTTCTCAGCTCAGTCAGTCGGAAGTATATTTTCTGTTCCGGTTCCTATTTATGTGGTACACGGAACGTCCTGTTATTATCTTCGGTCCAGAATCTGAAGTATGTCTCCCACCTTCATATCAGATCTCTGACAATGAGCAACCTTGCTTAGACTTGAGTTTTTTGTATCATGTATTGATGCGTTACTTAATTGGCAAGAGTAGCGTCCTCCTTTGTGTCAGTTCTGCATCATTTATTCTCGCTTCCATTTACTTAAGTTCCAGACTATACACCATTGTTTCATGTGGGGCGATTCTCACAGAAGCTATTATTCGGGTTTAAGTTTGTGGGGACTTGTACATTCGAGATAGCCATGAGGCATCTTGGATTCTCAAGTGGCTTACTCTTCAAAATCATATATCGCACTCATACCCATATCTGTACTTTTATAGATGCATTACTTGAAATCTTTTACTATTCTAGGTCTTCGTCCAGTTGAATTTTATTATAGTTTTTTTATTTGTTCATCTTTCTTTCAACTTAGAACAAAGACAAGCGGGACATTCAGTTTTTTTATGTTGATAGTTGATAAATGTGCCCAAGTGTTGCTTTAGTACATAATTTTTCACACTTGTATGTGGATGAAGCCAAAAAGAAATTAGTATCTGATTCAATTTTTGAAAACAAAATGTATCTTGGAGATAGATTATGTAACTTAAATTGACTTGATTTGATTTGATTTTTAAATTTTTTTAACTATTATATTGAGGATCAAGTTTGATTAAAATCAATGACATCCTTGTAACAGTTTTTAGAGAGAAATAAGATATGTTATTTTAATAAGTTGAGTAAATCTTTAAAATAAAACTACAACAGTGATAATATTTTGATACCCAAATAAAATAAAAAAAATTAACAATACATCTAATAATTTATTTTTATTCTTATTTTTTTGACACAAATGGTGGTTGTGCATGTGCGCAAAATTAATTTTATTTATTTGTATATTTTATAAAAATTATCACAAAATAAATCAACATTTTCATTAATTTATTACGTTTGATGTTTTACAAGGAATTGATACGTTGACAGAGGTTTTTTCAAAATTGACCAAGTTTTGGTAACTAGTTCCCTCTCTCCTCTTCCTGGTTCCAGACTGGGTTGTAGATCTCCTCCCTTCTTCCTTATCTTGGTGCTGATTTTAGACTTTCTCTCCAACTTTTTAGTTCCATTGCCAAAAGAAGGAGGAGAGGAAGTTCAAGCCCCTTGCCATGACAAGGACGAGGAGAGAGGGGCCTAGTTACCAAAACCTGGTCAATTCTGTAAAAACCCCAATCAATGTATCAATTCACTATTTTATATTATTAAAGTCAAATAAATGATTTTTTTTTTTTTTTTTTTTTTTTTTTTTTTTTTTTTTCTGGATTTCTAATGTCTAAGAAAATATACATATATAACTTAAGAATTTTAATGCCTAAATTTGGAGGCATTTTTTATACTTATAATTGCATAAATATTCAAATTAATTAATATATGATTAGTTTATTTATTTAAAAAAACATAGTGGCAATTGAATGAATTAGATTTTGAAAAATCATTTAAAAAATAAAAGGACTTTTACCAAAAAAATAAAATTATATCTACTATATATTTTTGTTCTAAAATAATATCATGTAATAATTTATATTGTTGTCTTTTAGAATGTAACTTGATGGATCTTATTTATTTATTCTATTTCTTAGTACATAAGTTTTATAGTGTGAACTTATTAATTGCATAAAAAATAAAAATAACACTAAAAATAATTTAATTTAATTTAATTATATAAATTAGATAATTTAATTATTTTTTTTATTACTAATATTAATATTTTTATGTATATATATATATATATATATATATATTGGTTATAACTATGTGCCAAGTTTTTTATATTCTTTATTTGAAATTTAATATCAAATAGTTGTATGTTTTAATTAATTTAATAAGATTTAATTTTATTTTCTAAAAAATATCTTCATATTATTTGTAAGACAAAATCATTCTACTATCATACAATTTCAATAAAATAGAGAAATTCAATATAAATTCATTATTATTTTTAATATATAAATTTTTTTCTTATTTATAAAATTTTAGATAAAAAATATTTTAAAATTTATAATATTTTTTCTAAAACATACTTTTAATATTTATGTTATAATTTTTATAAATACAAAAATATTTTAAAAATATTCCAAAACATAACTAGAGTAGATCCATTATAATTCATGCATATATCTATATATATATATACATATATATAGATAGATTAAGTAAAATATTTCAACTTGAATGGTATTTTAATGTAAAATTATTAATGTTGGATTGTGTAAAATTTGCATTGCATATTAATATTTGAACTAAATTCGATTTTTTTTATTGGAAATTATTAAAAAAGAAATCAATCTTAAAAAATTTCTTCTTAAATTTTTTTTAATAAAAACTATAAAAATTAGAATGGTTTAGTTTAAAAGTATATAATCAATCAAAATTTATTTAGATTTTTTTATTAGAATCCATATTTAAAAAATATTGATTGATTTATTAAATAGAAAAAATATTTTTATTTAGATAATATTTAAATATAATTTTATTAAAAATTATCTAAATTTTATTTCTTTTATTTCTAATTTTAAGCTTATAATTTTTTTTTATAACCTAATAAATTATATTATTTTAATATTATCAACTATATATATATATATATGAAATATTTTAAAACATCCAAGTTGCCATATGATATGGCATCTATAACCATATTATATCAAATAGATGCTTTTCATCTAAATTTCATTTGTTAGAAGCATTTTTATTTATTACTATTAAAAAAATTTGACTTTAAGTCAATTAGGATTATTAGTATATAGATATAAAGACTATTTGACAAGACATTCTTCCCTAATCAACTATTATGAATATTTTTGAATTTTTTTTTCTTGTGCTTTCTTAAAGATAGTGGTTAATCATTTAGTTAAGCAATTGAAGTTCTTTTTAATCTTTATATTCTTAGATTCTTTTCTTCGAAGTTGCAACTTTGTATATAGATGTAAAAAAAGCCATAAAAGTCACCTAGTTTCAATTATTAGTATATCTTTGGACTTTTGCTTCAACATTTAGAACATAAGCCTTTTTAAACACATAAAATATGATCTAAAAAAAGCTTAAATTATATAAAATTGAGGACTATTAAAAGAATTAAATATGACTTCTTATTATTGTCAAGGAAATGATATTGTCTAACATGTTTTTAATAATTACTATTAAACACATACATATTCATTCTAATAGTTATTTAGATAATATGAATAAATAGAAGTAAATAAAAGTAGATTAATTTCATAACATCTATTAGAAAAGCTTTTTAGAAGCTTTGTAGACATGATTTCACCTTTATATATATTTATAGGTGATTAATAGGTTAGAAACTTGGCCAACAAATTAGCCACATATTGTACGTATTAGTAGTTTATGGTATAAGTTAATGATGTGGCATACATATAGAAAACTTGCCTTGTAAGTTAAAATATGTCTTTTGTAAATTAGACATATGTTGGAGGTCTTATAAAGCTTTGTCACATAACTCTTAAGTAGATGGTATATATAGAAGGAAGAGTGAAGCCTTCATTCTTGTTAATTTCTTTCTTGCTTATAGTCTAATTTCAAGGGTCTCTAATTTTTTTATCTTTTGGTAATATTCATTCTAATTTCTTTTTAATATACATATTTTCTTATTTCTATTTTATTATCTTACTTTGAAAAAGTCTCACTCGTTTATTTGCCTTCATCAAGGTCTTATCCTTAACAAATTCATAAGAATATATTTATAATATTAGAACTTTGTCTCTTCTTGATTAAGAATGAATTATTATTTTTTTAATAAAACATAAGCACATTAGAAGTTGCAGATTATCCACTTTTAAATAAATATTGTTTTTAGAATTTTTTTTGTTTTTCAATCTTTTCTATTTATCTTGAGAGATGTTAGATATCTTCTTTTCTATTGTGTAATCATAATAGAGCTAACTAAAATGGAAAATATAATGGCACAAATGCAAGAGCAATTGAGGGAGTTAATGCTTGCTATACATCAATTCAATTTACCACCATAAGAAATAATAAGATTGACAAATAGTGAAGATATAATAATGATTGGAAGTGCTTCAATATCTAAAAAAGATCATGCTACTCTTCCTATGATAGAACACCATTCAAGTATTAAAGAATCAAGAAGTGCCTTACTAAAGAAGTTTAATGGCTCAAGATTAAAATTTTGAGGATTTATCAATTAAGTACAGTTGACAATTAAACTTCAATCCCAAAGCTATTCAATTCAAGGATCATAAGTCAAGTTTATTAGCATATTTTTTTTAGGTTTTACGTTATCTTAATTTTTATCTTTTTTTGAATAATATAATCTTATATTAGATAATTTAGAAATTTTTTTAACAGAGTTTTGATCTATGTATAAAGAACATAATATAATTTGTGTTGTAATAAATAAGATCCATATATTGTAACAAAACAATCAATCTATAATATTATATGTTTTATAATTGATATCAAGTAAGATGTTGCAATCATTAGCCAATGTCTTTATAGATTATAATATGAGATAAAAAATTGATGCTTAATTTATTTAATCTTTAAAGTAAAAAAATTCACTTTATCACGAAGTGTGATTATTGAATTTTTGAATTCTGATCTAAAAATGGCATGAGTGGGCCTTAATGTTATTTCAATTCAATGGCAGTACCAATGTCTTTTCAACACATACATTTGAAAGTAGAAGATATGCAAATTGATGCAATATGTTTTAAATCTCTCAATGAATAAGAAAAGATTTATCATTCTCAAGAAGAATTGTGCTTATATTTTAGAGAACTTAAGCACACTACTTAATATTATCCAAAGAAGT